CTACAACACTGTGATCAAGAGTGTTGATAAATTAGAGAGAATGATCATCAGCGTGGAAGCCATACAGAGGACAATAAATCCTCCATTCCATCCCTGGACAAGACGTCTATCAGATGAACTTCCAGATTGGTATTCAACAGATGAATCTGAATATTACTCAAAAGAAATCATTAACTTTATTCCAAAGTTTCCCCGACAGTATCCAATAGTTATTGAAGCCACTGAATATGGAGATGTTTTGGCACTTTCTGAAGCTTCTTACAGAATTGGTGTTGAGTCACCAGAAGAAGAGTCCAACACAACAATAGAAAACTGTGGACAATGTATAACCTTCCCATTCTTCATGATAGCATATAATACAACAGCTCCAAAACAAGATGTTCCCAATCCAGGAGGAAGTTACAGTTTCACTGGTGAATCTTGGGGTAGAATTTGGGCTTATAGAAGGGCTGTTGGTTTAAATATTGGAGAACAGGATGAACTTCACTTAGGCGAAATTTCTCAACAGAATTGGGGAAATGGCAATGACTTATGTGATGGATATATCTACCTCAATAAGACCGAAACAACAAAACAGCTTAATGACTGGCAAGGCGGTATCAATCTGACATCATTAAGAGCAGTTGAGGATCGTGGATGGGGCTGGTATAATTTCTATAAAGGCAATCTATCTGAGGAGCTACAGTCACACATGTATTTAGGATTATCTGATATAATTGGAACTACCACCGGACTGTCAAAAGTACCTTACCTAAGAGACTCCAGAAGAAGTATAGGTTTAGATGGCTTTTTGTTCACAAAAAAAGACCAGTTGACACCAGCAGTCTACAACAATGATCTTAAATCAGGAATAAATTTCTCAATCAAATTTCACGACAGCATTGCCATTGGTTCATATATGTCAGATATACATAAAATGAAGAAATGCAAATGGCCGAGATATACAGATGACAAGAGTATCCTGCCCTTTCACATACCATTCCGTGCTCTAACCAATCAAGATTTTGATAATCTGTTAGTTGCTGGTAAGTCAATGGCACAGACAGAAGCTGGTAATGCACCATCTAGAATGCATCCTACAGAGTTTCTTACAGGGGAGGCTGCAGGAACAGCCAGTGTTATGATGTTAGAACAACAATTAACTACAAGACAGCTATATGATCAAATAAAGGAACTACAAGATGAACTTGTTAAATTTATGCCTATTTATTGGGATCAACCTAGGAATGTTACCAAAACTGCCTAATTCGTTAAAAGTGCATTATTGAAACATAACATTTGCAGCATTTTCATCCTTTTTAAGGTGATCTTAACAGTCTTTCGCTGTGGGACACGACTTCGACTTCAGTGTTATCATCAATAAAATCATTTCCCGTATGACACTATGTCATACTAACATTTCTAAGTCTTAATGACATGAGTTGCTTAATAATGTTATAATACTGTTATCAACACTGACCCATCATTATATTTCTTTTAAATTCTAGGGGAGGCCACATCAATTTGAATTTCTGTTCTTAGGGGAAAAATAAATAATTATTAAAAACAAATAGCACTCGGTTGATCTTTAAATCCTAATATCGGTATTTTGAAATTTTAAACAAAACAATGTTCACAGAACGCATGTGGCTATATCTATTTATAAAATCCCAAACAACTAAAAATTAAATTGGTTTGGTCGGACCGACAAAGATTTTCAGGTAGCACAGTGAATGAGTGACTTAATCATTGTCTTATTTTTATTTTGAGTAAAGCCTAAATCATTGTAGGCCTGAGACTGTACAGTGCAGTGGATGCTTATGGCTGGCCCCTGGATCCATTCGCTTGATTTGATATTTGTCATTTATATTTTGCAATGTTTATGTAGTTAGTCTTGTCCGCAGAGTTTGTCTTATTGTTTTTGTTTTGTGTGTAGTGTGGTCCTCCTGCACATACTATTATAACATGATATAACCAATAATAATTAAAGCTGTATAACATGATCTACCAATTTAATATAGACATAATAATGTATAGGTATATATATTCTGTAAGTAAAAGATGAGTCATATGTGTAAATATATGTTGATAAATGAATTGACAAGTTCTGTCATATATCATTCTAAATATAGAGTTCCCAATATGAATAACATAACATGTTTATTTGATTGAATTATTTATAGTATTTCATAATTTACAAGAGAGTTGGTTCTAGAATCTAAGTTGGTTTTTAAACTTCCTTGACCATTAATTTATTCTTTGCTTTATACATCCGAATGAACAGATACCTATTCTTGTCATTTAAAGCAAGATTCAGTCTATTTTCAACAGCATAAGAGAATATTCATTACATAATTTGAGAAAATGACAGGATATGGGCAACTTACAATGCTCATTTTTGAACAAATTTGTACCCATATGTTAGTCCCAAAATGACTTAGTTTGTGTTGAGTGGATATTAAACCTCATTTCTCTCTATCTTCTGTATTTTAAAGGAGCTAAATCGCTAACATTTGGGACCTAGAAATTGACAAAAGTGCGTCGCAACGCATATAATAGTGTAATATGAATGTATATATAATTTAAACTGATTTACATTCAATGGTTTCCGTTTTTACTCCAATTTCGAATCAGTTATGTTTGGCGAAATAAGCCAGCAGTCTCAAGCGAGTGCAAATTTCTAGCGTCTGGTTATTCCAGTCTACATACGCCGTTTGATTTGGTGCAATGTGTCTAGCCTCGTCCCTCGAGTCTTATGATACCTCTGGGGCTGAAGCGCATTATGGTACACGATTCTTGTACCAATGGTAAAATGTTTATTTTGTCTTAAATATTGGATATCAAAAGTCCATCTTTTTCCGGTAAGATCACAACATGAATGTTGATTTAATTTGACAAATAAATCGTGTTTTCAATGTTGAAGATTTTGTATGATATTGAGTTAGAGACTTAGCTACTTTAATATGTAGGAGTATTTATAGTCAACAGATTGATCAATCTATATTACTTATATTAGTGTTCTTTATCTAGAAAAACCACAGACAATTCATCAAAATTACAGTTTCTTATCTACTCATTTTGAAGGTTACGTCAATCATTTAATTAAATTTATCAGGGCTAATCTGATAGTCTCAGTGTAAGTACTTGTACTCTAATCGAAGGGTCAGCAATTCAAAATATAATGTCAGTCAGTGGGACTTGAAAAATATTTTCAATGGAAATTTTAATGCAAAAATTCTCTCATGACAGACAGAAGTCAAAATAAATATATAGTCAGATGGTTGATCCTTTGATGTTCTGAATGGAACTGAAATGTGAGGAACTGTTCTGGAGTTGGTCAGTGCCAAGTGACCAAAACCTGACCAGGTCAAAGGTCACAGTTGAGCAAACAATCCCTGTGTACCGGTAGTATGGACACCTCCTTACTGTCTTATTCAAATAAAATCTACTTAAAAGTTAATGACCTTTTGTTGTTAAGGTCAGAAGTCATGATGGAATGAATTGCATTCTAATGGTGACAAACCATTGAGTGTCCAATTCTTCAGAAATTAAACAAATAACTAATATAATTATCCACATGCTCTATAAGAACTTTTTTAATGGAATATCTTAGGTTTTGATTGAAATCATTTCATTTCTTAAAATCTTTAAACAAAACCATTATTTCACACTTAATTTACTGAATCTTAAAACTATATTGTCATTATTTTGTTCTCATTAATGAAATCAACCATGGCAGATAGGTGTGAAATTATGTGTATATTTCCATTCATGTATTTATATCGATTCAGCGCACAGCTATTGACAAAAATTTAGTTCATTAAATATGTTATCCTCACCATTTAATTCATTGAAAGCTTGTTGCCACACCCACCTTATAATAGGCCACATGGAATGATTACCACCAGTATATATATCAATGATGAGTTATGAAGTGATTAAATATGATGATATCTGATGTCAATGACATATATTGATTTACACTATCTGGATAAGTTACTGACCATTTAAATTAATATTCAATTCAATATTATTGATTAATGATACAATATTACTGATATAATTAAAGTCCCAGTAGTCACAGGTATGTAAAATGAAAATAAATGTACTGATTTTTTGCGATTATTGTAGGCTGGACATTTATCGATATAAGAAAATCAACAATATCCCTAGGAGGCTGTTACATTTAGAACTGCAAGACTAAAGCCATACTAAACTTAAGCTGTCTGTCTACAGTTAGCTCTGCTTTAGAACAGACACTTGACTAAGCTAGTTGACCAACATTTTAAATCCTAAATCAACAATTTTAGTCGAAAACCCTTCAAAGTATACTCCAAGAATTTTGTTGAGTATTTATTCTGCTTCCATTTAATAAAATTGAAAAAGTTTATTTAGTCTTTATGTGTATGACAGATATGAAACGGAGTAGAAATGCATTACAAAACAGTATTCTAATTTTTGGATATGGCAGCCATTTAGGGCAGAGATCTATTCTCGAGGAATAAAGTAGATGGATTAAAGTGCAACCCTCAACAAGTTGTACAATCATCTATTTATAAAAGTGATGTGTTTTTATTGTATTTTAGTATATTATTAATACATGTCTGGAACAGAGAGAGAGAGAGAGAGAGAGAGAGAGAGAAAGAGAGGGTTTAACATCCATTCAACACAAACTAGGTCATTTCGGGACTATCATATGGTTAAATTTTATTTCAATAATTCACTTGGTGGTAAGGGTCTTCAGCAGTGGGAGGAAACCGGGGAACACAGAGAAAACCCACGAGGTTGGACAGGCAACCCTATTCCTTGTCACGTACAAGTGGGGAATCGAAACCATGACACTTAACCAATGACAGACCTTATGATGCAATTCACAACCATTCAACCATTCAGCCACCCATGTCTGGAACAAAGTTCAAAACCTTAATTACCAATGTAGTAGGACCTGACATTTTGTTGGGTACATGTCTATATATCAGTTATAGAACTTAGAATAAAGTGTAATATTTAATAAAACTCACCTTCCACTCTAGCTTTAGGTTGAGGTAGACCAGCATCTTGCATTAGTTCAAAAGCAAAAGCTACATTATGTACCTGAAAAACATAGATTATATAAATAGGTTAAGTTAATGATTTTATATTTATTTTTGTACATCATGCGTTTGCATGGACTAATGCATGGCCTGTCAATGAGTGGCATAGTATTGATCCTAAGCTTGTATGCGACAAGGAACAGATCCGATCACCTGCCCAACCTTATGGGATTTCCCTGGGTCCTCTGGTTTCCTGCTACTGCTACTGTTGAAGACCCCAACGAATAAGTGGATTATTGAAATAAAATTGTACCATGTATTAATATAATTGATAATATTTCTAAATTTATTTGTAAGGCAAGTGTGAAAATATTGATAAACTAAGATTCATGAATGAGTTTTGTAATAAGAAGTTAGGTTGTTTATAAACTGCTGCACTTTACAGGTGTCTGATGAATACATCCTTTTTATCATGGCAAACAGCCATCTGAATCATTATTCCAGCCAAACATCAATAAAAAAATATTCATGAATAGATAATAACAGAGCGATGGATGTTATTAGAGCAGAAATTTGTAGGATGAATGAAAAGTTTATAAAAATAGATCCGGACGCCCACATTATAAAACTATAATATTTCATATAAGTTTTCAGTTCCATCCGAACTTCATCAGACCTTTAATACACATAATTAAGAGAAGACCATCAATAATCATTTTTTTTTATGTACATGTATACTATTTATATTTTTAACACCAGTGCATAAGATTTTATATTTATCTGAACATCATGTTTTAATTTATTAATAAATTTGAAAACCATTTCTACAAAACTGAACTCCATTTTTTTCCCTCCGAAACCCTAGGTCAAATGAGAGAGAGAGAGAGAGAGAGAGAGAGAGAGAGAGAAAAAAAGAGAGAAAGAGAGAGAGGGGGAGTAGTTGGTGGAGAAAAACAGGACACTAAACCCTATTTAATTACATTTAATATTGTTGTTCTTTTGCATATGTTGTACTATGTTTAGAACTGTATGACTTTATATGCGGTTGGCACAATATAGCCCGAATCGTGCTGACATACCATTTAACACCATATCATTATACATGTATAAGCGCCCTGTCTAAAAGAGGATAGTAAAAAATCAAATGTGATGTCTAGTTGGCTGAGAAATAGAGGCAAAAAAAGAATATTTATACTGTTTCAGGTGTGAAATGTAATCTCTTAAGGAAGGCCGAACCAATTTAATTATTAATTCTTTAGGGTCTTATTCAATAAATAACACACTCAATTCTTGTGTTCAATGATTTGTTAAGATTCCAAAACCTAAATATTTTGAACTGAAAGCTTTAAATGTTTATAAATATAATTTTTCCCTGGAAGTAATTGAAGGCAGAATTTCAATCAGTGTTCCCGAAGAAGAGATATTCAAACTGGTGTGGTCTAAGTCTAGACAGCCGATAAATCACAATAGTTTACTGTAACACTTATTACATCTTTAAAACAGTTAAGTTCTTCACTCAGCTTTAATCGTTAAATACAAGAAAGCAAACTTCATGAGATTTATTAAAGCTTGGAATCTTTGATGATCGGAGAATCCTCTGAGAACTGGCTATATTATTAATATTTAAGAATACATGGTGGGGACAGTGTGGAGATAAGTTTATAACCAGGACTCAAACCACTATTGTCATAAAGAGGCAATATCAACGACTTTTGATTCGACATTTCATTTATCATAGGACACAGAGAAAAAACATGAGGTTTGATAGGTGACCTTACTCCTTGTCATGTACAAGCTTGACTTAATGACAGATCTTATTAGCCAAAGCACACAATGTTAAAGTATTCAAGAGGTAAATTTGCTTATTGCAGGTCTTTCTTTAGGGTTTAAATGTTATATAAATTATTATTAATTAGACATTTATTAACATGACAAGACCATAATCAACTCTCAACGCCATCGGATGCTCGAGATTTTAACTAGATTCAAACATTTCGGTCATTTAATGATTTAATTTCAAAATGAAGAAGTGTGGCCAAGTCTTGAATATACCCGTACCGTGGTTACGATAATAAACAATCAATGCACACATCTTGTCAAAACTCCAAACAGTGATAACTTGGCTTAGAATAAAGTAATTTGAATGATATTTTCAATATATTCATTTTGCATCATCTATTTTTTTTAACTATTATAGAAAGAATGGCCATATCTAAATCTTACATAATGTATCTTTAACCCATTTGGTCTCCTAACCTTATGCATTATAGACAAGCCCAAGGTGTAATAATTTTCTCAGATACATCTAGTTAGTAATGTGAATACTAATTTTGATTTGTAAAGAGCTTTGTTAACTTTGGTAGTTTTAATTGAAATTGATTACTATATAGACTAGCCTGAGATGTAATTATTTTCTCAGACAGTTAGTAATCAAGCCTTGAAATAAGGCACCTATCATAATGTTGTCAAGCACTACAGGTTTTGTCAGGCACAATCCCACACTGATTAGCAATAAATATTCGCAAGGCTGCTACAATCACTGAGAGGGATGACATCGGTGCAAGTTAATTAGCTCACAATATTAACTTTTTTCCTTCTGCAAATTAAATTCTAGAACAATTTTATTAAAGTATTAGAAAAACAAATAAAGGTATTTGAAGTATATCTGGATAAAAAATATTTCCAAATAAGTGTAAATGGATATATAAAATGAGTAAACGACACCATTCTGCCTGGACCAGATTACGTTACAACATCTTATGTAAACAATGCACACACCATCAAACCAATGATCGACGCCGTACGATGTGACGTCACATGTAGAATTAGAAGGCATAAATGAACTTATAAAGGTCAATCATCTTATACAGAGGTATAAGAAGGCTTTCAGAATACTTCTGTGAAACAGATTGGCACAATCCCTCTGGTGCCTTCTATTTTTTGTGGCACAGATTTGTGTTTTTTATTGATATTTTTTAATAAATGTCCCCACAAAGTTTAAACTGTCAGATACTAGTTCAGTAGCACCTGATATATTGTCAGGTACAACTTGAATCATTTTGTTAATAATGCTAGTCGTAATTTTGTTGACTTGTGGTTGTTTTAATTCAAACACGTGTCAGCACATTGATAATTACTATAGAAATGGTAAGTCAACAAGAGACTGGATAAAAAAAAGTCAGGAGTAAATAGACCTAGCCTACTCACAACTTCACAGAACTAACAGAGCAATAAGGCTACACATTTATTTTAGACGCCTAAAACAAACAGAGAGCATATAGAATTTACAGTGTGGTTAATATAACTTGACTTTTCTCACTTAACTACCTTTTTATCTTATAATTTACAAATGAAATGGGGTTTACTGTCCTACTGGACTAATGAAGACGGTATACGACATATGGTGTGTTAGTTATGAGGAATTGTGCCAGGACAGTGGTGCTACAATTCTAACTGCCAAGGGTTCTTTTAAGTGCACCCCAATGTGTATGCGATGCCTTGGTTTTTTGTCCCATCTAAACGACTATACATTGTCCCTTGCAGGGCCCTCTGTTCTGCACTGACTTGCTGGAAAATTCAGATGAACTTTCTCGGACAATACCAGGATCGAACATGGGACCTCCAGGTTAGCAAGCCCTTACTCACTGAGCAGCTCTGTGAACATAGCGAAATGTATCACCTTTTAGAAGCTGTTGACCATGTAACAATGACTACCGGCATGTCTTTATAAGAGTTGCTCACAAACACAACAAAACCCACAGCAGCTCTGTGGTCTGGGAATATAAGAAGATGAATCACTTTTTGGAAGATGGTTGAAGCTCTTACAATGCATAAATAAATGCATTTTCTTATGAATTACAAGAGTCGGTCACAAACACAATGAAATATGTGTGTTCCGTAAGTCAACGAAATGTATCACTTTCTGGAAGGTGATTAAAAACCTAACAATGAATAAAAGCTTTTTTGCATTTTAGATTTGTGGAATTTGGACTTTGGATTTGTGGTACTGGTGCATTTAAGTGCACGTTTACTATAAAACAACAAAGTATCAGCTATTATTAACTGCATTTACAATGTGCAGGGGAGTAACAGTGACTCAGTGAGTGGGACACTGGTTCGCTAACCTCATGATTTTCCAGTGTGGTTTCCCATGTCAGGATCTGACAGTGCCTAGTCATTAGGATGGTACAGAAAATCAAAATGTAACTTCATGTAATATAAGAAGTGCTAAAACTGAGTTTTTAGCAGTAATACGTAATAGATACTAGATGATCCTGACTAAACTAGCAAAGAAATGTAGTAAAATTGTTTTAACAACTTTTTACATTTAAAAATGGGAAATAAAATTGTCCATATGAGAAACAATAGAAGCAAAATCTATGATTAGCATTTGTGCGAATCAGGTTAGCTACTTTATATATAGAAAACTCAAAATGGCACCGGGCAATATTTGATTCGAAAAATGCGATGGAAATCCAGTTATCGAGACCCCTGCTGCACGGCATCTACTTCATTATACCAGTTGGTGCAGAACAGTAGATTCTTAAAGCACATTTCATTTCATAGTATATGTGCAGGTGTTTTTCATCATGTTCCATTCTATGGAAGTCATGTTTAATTTATTACAACACAGTGATGAAAACAAAATCTATATTTCTACCATGATTATGTTATCAGTTGGGTAGTTATATATAGTACCATAATATATCAAAGTGCCATGTACTAACAAGAATAGGTAATATTAAATCATCTGTCTTACAGGAATGTACTATTATTACATGCTCTCTATCTCTTAGATAAAACAAATGACAAATTAATTGCTCCTTTGATTAAACACAGATTTTCACAACTTCTGTTCGTCAAACCTGAATCTTTATAACACTATTAAATCTGGAAATAGGCCACCTGTCACTAACAATTTTCAGCGCACAATTCCTCTGGTTCCGGATATTCTGTAAGTGAGTGTTTTCTCACTTTTTATTGATATTTAAATGTATGATACAAAATAAAAACTGTTTGATGTTATATAACAGTAGTTCTTCAGTTGCTAGCTCGCTAGCC